CGGAAAACATGAAATTTTGCAATAATCTTACGCCACCCTTGCACAAAACGACGATAATTTTTCTAATTTCATAGACAACAGAAGACTGTATTTTTCCTTTTCCTTCATAACACCCCCTGACTGAATAGACTATATATCAGCCGATATTTACGGTTTTTATAAGTGTATAGAAGGAAAAACGCCATACCCAGTAAAAACGTACAAAGTCGCGAATAATCACTGCCACAATGATGCCAATTCTTAGTTTTGTTTCCGATATCACGTGCAAGCATGGCTTGTACACAGCAGTAAGTAAGAAATCGTTAAAGGAAGTGATAAGCCTATTAAAAACCGAAAATTTATGGGTCGTGTCTCGGAGAATAATTAAATAATCTCCAGGCAGTGCAACGACTTATAGAAAAAGTCACGAAAATATTTCAATATTCTTCTCGCACACACGCAAATTCTAGCGACGGACAATGCAAGAATTGACACCAGATTTCCAACTTAATTCAAAGTATTTACGAAAAAGCCTCACTTCAACTGCAAGTTAAAATCAAGCGAGATTTTAAGACCATAGAGCCAAGGTGAAACCATATCCCCGAAACTCTTCACTCTGGCTTTAGAAGATGCTGTCGATAAAGGAAAATAGCGGTAGCGATCGACGGTTCCTATCCTAAATCACCTGAGATTCGCAGACGATATAGTGCTCATAAGTACAAGCGTTACTGAACTCGAGAATATGCGTGAATCGAATGACTCTCCCAATCAAGTGGACATTAAAATGAATTTAAAGAAAACGAAGCTATTGAGCCACAAAAATCCACGAATTTTATTAAACGGCATGAATATAGAAAATGTCGATCATTATGTATACCGTGGACACGCAATAAGCCTTGGTAATCTCCAGAAGAATTGGTACCTGTTCGGGACACTATTGCTCTTACCGAGGCAAACGCAGACAAGCTACGAAGAACTCAAAGAGCAATGGAAAAGACCCGAAACGAATAAATACGAAGACAAGCAGAAATCACAGTGGCAAAACTGAACTGGAACCTACTAGAAACTAAATTTTATTACCCGCCAAGTGCTTATTTACATACCTCTTAATGTTCAGGCAACTTGAAAAAGTCAGGTTTTTTTTTAGATCAAAATTTATTCAACGAGGAAAAAGTGCCAGGACTTGCGGGAACTTCAAAGATTTTGAGCTAAAAGGGTACAATATTTTTAAGACAACCTGGCGGTTCTRCCAAACAACAAACAAAGAGTCGAACATGYAGAAAAATGTAGATYCTGMTTTCTTCAATTTGCACCTCGTGCTCGGAYTTATACTTCGTTTTTTCCCAGTCGTTTCAGTACGTATGACCTTTTCTACTAAAAATCACCCCTGTTTCGAAATGATGGTATTTACCCCATAAAATAGTCCAAACTTGTCCTTAACATTCAGTCCGGGAAACTGGCTGAGAACACTGAGAATTCCATCATTATATCCATCAAACAGAATCTGTCTAGCCGTTCTTGTTACGTACAAATTGGAAATGCCTGACATTGTCATGGAAAGGAACCTTTTCGGAAAATAGTTGTAGTTCCTTGCTTGGTAGGCCACAGTCTAGAACGAAATAAAAATTCAACTTCAACACTGCCACAGCAGAAAACCACAATTTAATGTTAACTTACCAGAGGAACTGGATTGATTGTTGTAACTAAATCATCCAGCTGCCGGGGACTGGATCCCTCATCATAATAATACAACTTCTTCACCATGTAGCTGATGGTGTTGTTCTCGTTCCAAGTTAAATTCGTCTTCTCTTTCACCTCCTTAACCCTGCAAACGGGCCGTGAGCAGATGTCCACAAAACTCCTTAAACTCCCCTACCTATAAGGGCCTACTTCTTCAAACCGGGGCTTCACCGAACTCCTTAATTCCTCTGGATTCGTCCAGTTGAACAGATACAGATCCATAATCAGTGGCGGGTCGTTGGCCCGCCAAGCTTTGAAAGAGTCTGCAAAAACCGTTATGAAACATCCTGATTTCTTTCACTCAAAGCATACCTGAATGGTCGTTGAATGTGAGAGCCTGCCGAATGATAAACTCGTGTATGGGCACCAAATAAACAATTATTGTTATTCCAAGGGCTATTAAGAGCGTCCCTGATATAAGTAGACCAAATTCGACATACTTGCGTCGACTTACTTTGGAGTCTTTCATTCTGGAATTTACAATTATTGGCTCAATGTCCTCAAAGGAAACGGGTCCATTGTCTAGCCAGTGAATTTATCTTAATTAAATGCTTATCTGTGAGCATGAACATAAAGTATACAGCATTTCAACACTGATCCGGGTCAAGGAAGTGAGCGGAAATCGCGATTTTGCCTAATTGTACAACAAAGCGTATAAACTGCTCAGGCTCAGAAAGTAACCAAAATTATTATCGTTGTGCCTAATCGCGTTCCACACAATCCAAACAAAGACATTTCTTGATGAACGATAATCATTTTTTTATAGAACATGGCAGCAAATCATGTTTTCATTAACTTACTTGGGTATTAGCGCGATGGAACACAAACACGCACAAACCGGTCTGGCTAGATTTGAGCCAGACACTACAGATTTAGTATTGGAGAGTACAGCCACCGTCCTTTTAAGTAGTTCATTAATAACCAAACACTGAGCACGATCTTCTCGAGACGTTGTGAATTATGAAGACACATTCGATCGATCTTATCAAATTAGTAGGCTCAAGACTTATCGCAAAACCAGTGACCCGATCGCACTGGTTCACTTAATAAAAGAATAAACCTTAGATATGTTTAAAGTAATTATTATTATTATCTATGCCTGTGTATGAATTGCACTCCAAATTAGAATATCGTTACAAGTTTCGATTCAAATACGACTAAGATAAGGAGCTTAGCATGAACCAAAAAATATTATCAGATGCGTATGTTGGATTGTTATCCGAAAGGCGGCTGGGAGCGAAATTGTTTCCAATCAACGTTCTAGATAATGGATTAACGCAAATTACTAATTAATGTTTAGAAAATGGATAGTAAATCTTCAAAGGGAGTGAGAAGCTTGAGGTTAACAATCAGGAGGGTTTAGGAAGGAGGATTCTTCCTTCAGAAAAATTCCACTTATAAATAAGTCAATAAACAACAGTATGATTAAATCGGCAATTTTTATTATTGCTGTATGTATTCCAGTATTGTTTTGCAATTTGCACGTACATTCCTATTGTTAGATGTACACAGTGTGAAATCGGTACATTTTCCAAGTGTTTTGCAGAAATTGTATAGTCCTAAATAGTTAAAGTATAATAATTAATTGCCTGATTGGCATAACATGGAGTGTCCACTCTGTAAAACAAGCTGGTCTATCAGGGAGACCTCAAAAGTCCAGTTCGATTAAACGGAAACGATTTAAAGTTGATTGAGGATTACATTATTTTTAAATGTGTGCATTTTCCGAAAATGTTCTTCCATTCAACCGTTCTGAAGCTCCAAAAATGTCCATTATAACCAAGCTCAAGGATGTTTGGTAAAATGCCCTAAAATTCCAAATAACTAACGGGGTTTTCTGGCTTTTAGCCCAATTTCTTCCCAACGTTTCGCAAAGACGAGTGACTTGCATTTTCAGAGGTGTCAGCTGCACATTTTTGCTGATAAGCCCAAAAAACTCATCAGCTGCATGCACTGGCAACGAAAGGATTTTTCTTTGCAATCGTTTCGTTTTTCTGCAATCAACGCTTCTCGTATATCAGAGCTTTGCAAACGAAAACACGATCTCGATTGCAACGCGCCTCGAAGATCCTCTATGGTGGTTAAAGTTTAATCGAAACATTGACTGAAAGAACAGTTTTTCCCAAATTCAATACACCAAACACTCTGTATATTCACATACAGTAGCGATTATCCGTAAATATATGATATACTTAATATAAAAACCACTGAAAATTTTCGCTGGATAAATATAAAAGTATCAACAGGCCGATGATGTTCACGTAAATACTAAATCCCGTCTATATCATTAATATTTCATAAACAATCTCTCTAATCTTTTTATGAATCACAGAAAGTAAAGGTGTAAACTTGCTCATTTGCACCCGCATACATTCCCAGTATTTAACATTAACAATTATACCTTGAAAACACTTATTTCAAGCAGCATTACAATTGTATTCACAAAGACACCTTTGCATACGTTAAACAAAGCAGTTCAAACTTAACATGATGTAGAATTTATCAAACAACTTAGTGTTCAACTAATCTAGTGAAGGATGGAACGAAGAGTAAATTGATTTAGCTATTTGGCAATGACTATCGAGTGTTCAGCAGAACTTGATCCTGGCAACCAATTTCGTTCGGAAAATCTACTACTGAAACCTTTGGCCGCTCAACACCTCGAAAACATGTAAGGAGAATAAAGGAAGAAAAAAACGTGTCACTTACAACCGTAAACTCATGTCCTCGCCGGGGCTGGACACTCGATAATCATCAATATAAGCCTCTAGTAGTTATAAGTATATAAAATTATCAAATATACCTACCTACTTACAAGAAGTATGGATAATTAATTAATTTCCAGCTAACTAACTAGCAGATAGAAAACTTAAAGCGTTGTCATCGTCTCACATGATAGAAGGCAATCAACAGTCCGGACCTTCACACCGGCCTTTTCCACATGTTTCAACGTTTGCGGATCACTTTCCAGCATCAGAATGCACATGAAACTCTTGCTGGTGATCGCATTGCGCGGATAAATCGTCTGGGCCTCGAATTTGATACTCAAGTTTTCACTGTAGCTGTCCAACTGCTTGTAGATGTCTGGATATTGTCTGCTGAGCGAAACGCCCCGATCCCGAAGCTGCGCCTGCAAATTGCTCACCGCAATCAGTCGGGCGCGAATGCTGGTCTCAGGAGTGGGCAATCGAATGGGCGAACAGGTGAGGATCAGCGTTTCCAGGGTCTCAGAAAGCGGCTCAGGACCTACGGAAGCCCAGCGGTTAAATGCCATTGCTTGCCTTCAGTTGCCCAACTTACCGATGAAGTTAATGTCTTTGCTTAGGCGCAATTTGGCACATCTGGATACCAGCTGTCGCTCCCATTTGATCGCTCCGGAGGCCGGCGTTTCCGAGACTACGCACAAGGAAATATAGAGGACAAACTTTGTTTCGGAGTTATAGTTCTGGCACATCTCTACCAGCTCTTTGTAGAGCATGGGCCCCATTTCGGTTGGAAGCAGGTCTTGCCATCGGGCAAAAGTCAGCTCTCCTAAACTGTTTAGGCCTTCGGCTAAGAACTTGTCCGCTGCCTCGGGATTGGGGAAGAAACACTTCACTGCTCCCAGACCATGAGAAATGTAACCTGCAAGTGTTTGGTTTAACGGACTTTCAATACACTAGACACTCAGTATATATAAGAATCCCAGATAGCATTTGATATTCTATGAATATCCCGGAATGTTCAAAAAATATACAGATCATTGCGGGAATATCCTGGGAATATACATAGGTGAACATTCCTAACATGAATGTTCGTGGAGGATACATGCATGTATATTCATTAAAGTTCATAAAACGTATATCCTAGGTATGTACATATATGTACATATTGGGTATATGTGCAGATGAACATGCCAGGTATGTACATATTGTGTATATGTGCAGGTGAATATACCTAGTATGTTGAAAACAAATATTCCGGTAATATACATGAATGTACATTTTTTGAAATACAAATATTGAATTTTTAAGTTTCAAGCTCCTCAAAATTGTTCTCAATTTTTAACGAAATTTGGTGCTAATTTGCTAAAACTACTTGTTTTCAAGCCTGCAGCTCTAGAGGCAAGTATTCACCATTAAACCAACCAAAATCCCTTTCGCTTTCTGTTCTGGTTTTTAAGATTTACGCAAAGAACAAACCCAGTTGAAGTGTAGAAAATTTCTCAAAAATACCTCAAAGACTGTCAAGTCTGCTTGGCTTGGCTTGGCTCCGTTTCAGAAGTTTTTGAGAAATGAACGCCTCAGAATCAAATAAACATTAAAAATTATCTATTGAGCTTGAGGCAAAAATAGAGAAGTAAAAAAAAACCTGAAATTGCTGTCGCGTTGAAAATTTTTAGGAATTCTATGAAAGTTTGTTGGTAGTACAGCGGAAAATGAAATATTTATTTAAACTGCTTTTTCAGAAATTAACGATTGGAAATGCAAAAATTCAATTTCTAAAAATATGAGAGTCGTAAAAACCATCTCGGCTTTAAAGTAGGATTTGAGAAGCGCAATTTTGATTATTTTAAGTCGGAATTGCAAAAGAGGGCGGACTTTGAATTTTTCTCATAAATTGCGTTAAGCATTCATCGCCTTGATCTTCATCGGTAATATAGAGACAAGTATGTTCTGAATGTTCTATTAAACCGAATAAAACTCTATTTGCTATCAATATTTGTTTTTGAGAAATTAATTCTCAAACATCGCCTTGATCTAAAACTATCGCTTTGAATCTAACAGGATTTGAAAGGGCGAAATTATTGTGTATATACAAAAAACATGGTTTCCTATCTCGACTGGATTTGAGAAATGAAAAACTCAGAAGGTGTTCTCAGAAGGTCTCAGCTCAGAAGAATTTTTATTTAGAAAAAAAAAGTAAAAGTTTTACAGAGCCCATAGAGGCAATTAATCTTTTTAGGCAGCAAAGTTTCTCAAATGTTGCAAGAGTTTTGAACAATTATAAGCTTCTCTAACGGTTCTCTCTGAGCATGGTTTTTGAGAAACTAGTGTATCTACGGTATATTCCAAATTGGTTGAATATAAATTTTGCGTGCCCGCAGCAG